AGTGAAAGTAGTACTATGTCTGGATTTCAGTTCCTACCTCTCACTGCCTTAGAGAATCGGCAAATACGTGTATGCTTTACGTTCGACATCACTACTAAAAGTGAATATATTCCCTAAATATTTTTCATCGCAATTGTATGTTTCACCTCAGCTATCCCTATTGGACGAAGACTTCATTATACGAAAATATAATGAGCTCAATTACCTTGACCGTGCACAAATTAACATAGACGCAGACAAAAACATAACACAATGAATTCTGTTTCGTTTCCAGACCGTCATATCTTGATAGACCATAATTAGTTTGTTATCCTTGGTATACAAAAAGTCAAATATCATATAAAGCCTTGCCCTTGGTATTAACTCAAAAAATAGTATGTCTTTGCGCCCTTTGCGCTCGTGGCCAGTGCACTTGTTTAAGTGCAGTGCAGTTTTGCGCATACTCCAAAACAGGGGCGTATGAAGCATCTAAAAGTTGGGGGGGGGGCAGGCTTCGAGGGGCACTTTTCGAATAAAAATGGGGGGGAGGTCATCTCAAAAATTTTTCCGGACATACCAAAAATCTTTCCCCAGATATCCCATTTTTCCCCAAATTGACAAAAAGTTTTCGGACATACCAAAAAATTTTCCGGAGATATCATATTTTTTCCCGAAATGACAAAATTTTTCCGGACATATCATAATTTTACCCGAAAATAACATAATTTTTTAGGACATACAAAATACAAAAACAAATGCAATCAAAAATCAAAGGCTATTGGACAAAAAATTCAATCTAAACGACATTTTTCACGGAGGTAAAGGGCACTTTTCTCCCGGAAAACTGAGGGCAGCTTTGAAAAGTTGGGGGGGGGGCAGCCCCCCTGCCCACCCCGGTTCCTACGCCCCTGCTCCAAAACACCTCACTCAGTAGTACTATGTCTGTTTTTTATATTGTTTCTTAAAACAACATTTCATCATTTCATCCAAACTAAGTTCAGCTATTTCAAGTGTAACAATTATTTGATTAATTTAACTAACCGGCATGTTTATTTATGACAACCTCATTAATATAGAATTCCAATCGGCTAGCATTGTCATTGACTATTTCAAGATGTTTTTTTTTTTTTCTAGAAAGCAAGCAGTTAGCTTATGCATTAAACGTTGTAAGGAAATAACTTAACAAACAATAGTTCTAAATGTTTCAACATGCTGTTGCCAAATATCAAACTTTACTTGCCAAGCAGCAATAAAACATCAGTGTGCGAGATTTTATGACACAAGGGCCTTATCAAAGTATTCAACTGTAATGTTAAAATGGCGTCGAAAGCAGTGTTTTGTTTGCAGATAAAATAACGTTTTATTGGTAATTGATTTTACTTTATGACAATAGTCATGGGGTCATCTTGATAGGTTATACAAATTCGTTAGATAGACGGAGACAGTCACGTTTTGCAAGGTTATGACTATAAAAAGGACGATTTACACAACGTGACAACTACACGTGTAGGCTTGATTTACACAGTACAACTCAGACAAGTTGTAAGCAGGCTCCCTTCAGTATTGCGAGTTTAGGTGCATGGATATTGGTTTCTATCAATCTAACACTGGTAATTTTTGTAATTTAAAGTTTAACCCTTTCATTGTCACAATTTATAATTAAAATTTTTAAGATAAGGTAATACAAGGTCAAGATATAATGTATAGTATTCTGGAAATTTACTATTCAGACATGCGAAACATGTATAGACAAGCAAGTGTCATTCTTCCTTTTCAACACCCGGTCATTTCCTGGGCCATTCATTTCATTGACACGAAATAACACGTAAACTCTCTCCAGAAGGTTCTGTTTCATTGGAAATATCTCACAAATGTAATTTACGCAAAGTTAGTATTTTACGAATGCATTCTATGTCTATGATTTACTTTTACGGCCGGGTCCGCCTTGACTTCGGTTATTAGTTTAGCCATGGTGCTTGTGGCACACGATTAAACATATTGTCAAATAACCTGCTTTGTATAGGCAGAATTGAAAAATTGAGAAATTTGAAAAATATCAATGGCAAACCATAAAAATCGTTTATGAGACGAGCAGACAAATGCTTCTTACTGCATAACAGGGAATTAAAGACTAAAGATTGCAGCCTTGCAGAAATTCGTATAAAACAAGGCAATTTTGTTTTAAACGAATAAACGTTGTACAGCATATTCACCGTCTAACTCAGACAGTGTAGGTTAATATTTCAAAAATTACTCCATTTCCAATATTAAAAAAATATTAAATGAAGCCTCATGTATAATGACGTCACAAAGCTTGATGCCCACGAGGAATGCTGGTCTTGGTAGTCATCGCCCGGGAAAATTAAACAATTCAAAATGCCCACTATCGAAATTTTCCCCGGCGATGATTACTAAGACCAGCATTCATTGCGGGCATCAAGCCTTGAGACGTCATTATGCGTAAGGTCTATCGCATGACTTTTCGATTACATGGTTTTTAAAAGCACGAAATATAAAAAATAAGTATAGTTTAAAAATAGTATGTCTTCGCGCTTGTTTTGCGCATGCTCCAGGGCCAACCAATTTGTTTCCAGAAACGCTGTAAATCCTAATCCTCTAGCAGACGCTCTAATTATATTATTCGAATCTTACGTGTTTAGTCACGTTTGTCAAATTTAGCAAACTTTCGACCACTCGTGCGGCTCGTATTGTCAGCGGACATCTTACAGAAAGTGGCCAGTTCTTTGAAAAATGCAAAAGTTTCGATTTTTCTCCGCAAGTCCGCTGAAAATGCGAGCCTGCGGTACTGGGGGGGGGGGATTTGCTGAATATGACCAGCGTGAGTGCAATGATAGTCAAAGAAAAAGTCCATATTACAACTTTTAAACTTCATGTATAGTTTCAAGTTTAAAATCAGATAATATCGTTTGACAGATGGTTCGCGATGGCATTGCGTGATTGCTGAATATGAAAAACAACATCCCTTTCTCTAAATAACAAACATACACAGCTGTCTATGTTATTCACGACCAACTGTTTAATTTATTTTCGCAACAAACATCTGGGATGCACTAATTGGAAAAGTAAAGTTTATGTAACCTTTCCCATGCCTACATGGAGTAATTAAAAGCATAATATCGTCAATTGCTATTGAACAATGCCCTTATTCACCAGAGACCGGTTGAACGACGGCCGAATAGCGCTATCAATCGGATAGAGATTTTTTTCACCGTTGTAAAATTGCTTGGAAGGCTATAACACTGTATGGGTACGGATTTTACAATGATTAAAAAGAATCTTTAATCAGTTATAATATACAATTGACCTCTTGCGTAATAGACTAAATTTTGATCTAGACAAAAATTTGATCACAGCTTGAAAGAGCATCACAAAATTAGAAATTTTCCAAAGTTTCGTTGCGAAATGTTGTAAAATGCGGATAACATAGCCTTGCGAAGTTTTCAATTTTCGATCATTTTAGATTACAAACGGGAAATTGACAGCCCAATACCCTTTGGGGCTGTCAATTTCCCGTTTGTAATCTAAAATGACTGAAAATTGAAAACTTCGCAAGGCTATATTATTTAGTCTATTACGGTCAATTAGGGTAGGTGGTTTTCGGGCCCCCTTTTTGAGGGTGTGTAAGGGTGCTAAAAGTGCGCAAATATTATAATATTCAATGTCGTTGATACGCGCGCATCAATGCACGCTCATGAATTATTAATGAGTTTTTTTAAATACAATATAAAGCACGAGTGACAAAATTTGAAATTATACAAGTATATATACACAGAAAAAGGTTTAATAACATAACAGCTTGTTATTGATACGACAAATTAATATTTTGGCGGCGAAAAGCAGGTTTCTAATTTAAGAACAGCAGCTCGTAAAAGTTTAAATTTAGAAAATGATCTAAAATATCTTGCAAGGTCGTTTATATAACCTTTCAATTCGCTCATCAGCCAAGACTCTGCAGGAAAATGTTTGGACAAGCCTAATTTCCGATTGCTTCACAGTCGGAAATTTTTTTTTGTTTGTTTTCAACATACACTGAGGCGCTATAGCTTTAGTTATTTTTACGGGGCTATGATAAACGGCGGATACTGACTAATGGATAGCGGACGGACGGCTTATATAATTTGTCATGAAACATTCTTTGATGATTCATCCGCGTTTTATCCTTACGGATAATGCGACGATGTGGTTTACAAATCTTCAAACACTCATTAATAATTCATAAGCTTATTGGCAAATCATGTCAACCATAATATGTCACGTGCAGTGGCTTTAAACCTGATAAAACACTCCTAATTAGTATTCTTTATATAAAGAATACTAATAAGGCATGCAGCATCTATTGTAGTTGTTCACGTGCAGTGGCTTTAAACCTGATAAAACATCTCCTAATTAGTATTCTTTATATAAAGAATACTAATAAGGCAATCTATTGTTAGTTGTGTCCTCATTAGTATTTTTTATATAAAGAATACTAATAAGGCAATATATCTATTGAATTTGTAGTCGTGTTTGAAGCCGTTTAATAAACTCGCAGGTCGTGTTATTTGTAGTCGTGTTTGAAGCCGTTTAATAAACTCGCAGGTCGTGTTTTATTAGGTCTAAAGCCACTCGCGCTGCGCGCTCGTATCTTTAAACCTAATAAAACACTCCTGCTCGTTTATTAAACAGTACATAATGCTAAAATGAAGAGATTTTAGATGGTACGCCAAAGAGAAAATGATGTCTGAAGTTCAGTAAGTTTTGCTTATATTGCTGTATAAATATGGCGTCAATTTTACAGCGTCAATGATAATTGTATTTAAATTGACAATATTTAACTATTATTTTGTGTTTCTCGACCGCCAGATACATTTAAAAAGGTCCCTAACTGTGTAAACTACAAAATAAAGCAAAAACAAAGTAATTTTGAGAGGAACGCCAAAAAGATTTTAGGTTTTGAAAGTTGACCCACCATGTGCTGCCTTGCCCCACTTAATGAAAGCCACTTGCACTCGTTGTGAATATTAATTCACATAGTCCATCATTTTAAATGCTTTCTTACGTACCCGACCTCGACTAGAAACGTCCAATGGTTGTTCCGGCGAATCACCGTCACTTTCCGACGCGCTATCGTCGAAACGCGACGAAGCCCGAGTCCTGACCGGTCGATTCGAGTTCACAACCTGTTTACCCCTACTATTGCTAGATTTCTTACTTGAGTTTCTCCTGTTTGTGGGCGTCTTGCCAGACCGGCTTGACCGGAAATTTTTCCCGCGCTGTGACGAATCGGATTCTTCGCTTGACTCGTCCTCAGTCTCTTCACTAACCTCCTCATCATCATCGTCGTCGTCTTCGCTCTCATGGTCAGCGTTTACCCCATTTAATTTTAACCGCGTTGGAGGAACCCGCGAACGGGTAGAATATCTAGAGGGCCCGTTTTGGGTGGTTGTATCAGGCGTTTCCGATACCAAAGAGCTTGCGCTACTTAGAGATTCTCTAAATGAAGTTCTTGTCGCGCTTCTGGTTCGTGTCCGCTGACTAGTTGAATCGTCAAGGTGATTAGTTTGCAGTCTATTAGATGTCCCTAACGAACTATCATTACCCCTATCTGTATCTTCAAGTCCCGTAGTGCTCAGCACCGACCTTTTAGTTAATGAAATTTTCATTCTTAAACCATCGCTACCATTACTGGGCTCTTCTTCATCGTCCAGCCGTCGGCTCGTGGACGCACGCTCGGACACACGCGGGACCATCTCGGGTCGAGCGCGTGGGGTCGTGCGACGCGCGGGACTTGACACGCCGCTCGTACCGGGTTCGTCTTCCGCTGCTCGCCTACATCGCTGGCGCGTACGACGCCCGCTTCCACTTCTGTGACGATAAAAGTTCACTGACAGTTCGTCAACTTTATTTTCAAATAATGCTGATAGTCTTAAAGTCATCGAGTAGATCTGTTCATAAATAAATTATAAATATCAGATATAATAATATATTATCAGATATGATCAATAAGACTTAAAATACTCATGAAATGTTAATAATTCATGAAGAAAATTCAAAAGAAATGAATGTTTAATCAATGTTTGTAAATCGGATAAAGATTTGTCCTGATTTACATAAACTTCAGCTTTGATTTTCTCGGCTTAAACAATGTTTATTTTTAAAATTACTTCGCCAATGAACTCATAAGATGGGTCGTATTTTAAGTACGTTAAAACATTCGCTGGCGATCTTTATCTGATATACAAACTCGAGTTTGAATATCAGGTAAAAATCGGCTGCTCATGTTTTTAACTAGTACTTACAGTGCATATACATTGTACAGGGTGTATAAAAAAAAAACTGAACATATTTGAAATTGCTCTCAATTTCGCAAAACACCTATTTGTATCCGGTATTTTTATATATAGCTTCTTTGGGTACTTATAATGTAAAATAATGAAAAAAATTTCTCGAACTCAAATTTTGTGAACCAGGGGTGTGTGTCTTTTCCAACAAACTAAAAATGGCTCGCGCACAAAATTTAAAAGCTGTAATCATATTTTGAGTTAATAGATTGAAAATTTGTCGGGTTTTTAATTACTGTACAAAATTTCAGACAATTTGGTTTAGTTTAAGCCCCTTAACTATTCATTTTGTTCTAAAAAGTCAGCCTTTCGCATGCTTAATTAATGCCTTTACCTAATTTGCATATTGCTGACATATGCAAATTAGGCAAATGCATTAATTAAGCATGCAAATAGCTGATTTTTAGGGGAAAATGTAACTTTGCGTGAATAGTTAAGGGGCGCAAATGCATTAATTAAGCATGCAAATAGCTGATTCTTAGGAAAAATGTAACTTTGCGTGAATAAACTAAACCAAATTGTCTGAAATTTTGTACAGTAATTAAAAACCCGACAAATTTTCCATCTGTTAACTCAAAATATGATTGCAGCTTTTAAATTTTGTGCGCGAGCCATTTTTAATTTGTTGAAAAAGACACCCCCCCCTGGTTCACAAAATTTGAGTTCGAGATATTTTTCTCATAATTCTACATTATAAGTACCCAAAGAGGCTATATATATAAACTAGGGATCCAAGGATAGTGTGAAGTTTCAAATTGAAAAAGACAGTGCAAGAACTATATAGGGTCGCCGACAACCTAGAAAAGTTGATGGCTTACACTACGAAATAATAAAACAGTTACCAAAGGCATTTCATCTCATTATCTATTGCTTTTAATACGCTCAGCACACGAGTAGCGTGACGTTTGAAACAAGCCTAAAACATCAGAAACGTGCCTTGTGAAACTGATGCAATTTATCTATTTATTGTGATGCTACACGCGACAATTCGAAATTTAAATTGTTTCACAAACAACCAAATTTTGCATATTCTAAATTTTCATTTGCATTTGTCGCTAAAAGCATCCCCACGAGGCTACTGCTATGCTAAATTTATCTAAAACTATAATTGAAATAGCTGTATAAGATATGTTATAAATAATAAGCACCACGTCGTTACATCATTAAAAGGACGCATTTTATCCTCATCCGTTCCTTATTTTATCCGCATATCCGTTCCGTGGATCCGCTCCATCCGCTTCCGCATTCTAACCTTATTGTGACATGTTTCACAATAACAAGTCTCATTGACCTTTGACTTTCCCCAGTGTCACGTTGTGTCTATTTTCAGCTTTTCGCATGTGTCGAATAATGTCACTTTAGATTTCAATAGTTTCACAGTTAAGCAGTGTTTAAAGCAGTTTTGACAAGCTTTGATACAGTTCTGTGTACATAATACTACAGATTGATTCTCGTATAATCTGGTAGAGTTATCGTTGCACTGAACACGAGTTTGCACCGTTGACAACGGCGTTGTGCTAGACAGTAAACAAAGACAAGGTCTGTGACGGTACACGTTGGCTACATGTACCTCCTTGCTTTTTTCTTCTATTGCATAAAGCTTGTTGGCGAGCCAAGCGATAGGCGATAACACGTTGGCGATAACACATTGGCTATCTCCTCGTCTTTCTTATTTAAATAAGGAGCTCTGACTCAACTGATTTCCTTTATATTCTCGCAAGTTATTTTCTTCGTAAACGCCGTACAAACACCCGCTTCTGTTTAATAATTGTTTATGGTTTATTGACTGATACAGATCTGATGCAATTTTTCGCTCTTTGTACTGAGTGTAGCCATCTATTCTGTGATGTAGCACCTTATACAGTGAATGACAATGTATAATAAATGCACGGTCTAAATAATATCGATGGGCACTTAATTGAATGCCGGTAATACATATCATCAATTTATATATTGTACTATTCCGTAGAATCTCAAAGATTTTCTCGATATTCATGTCTGAAATGTTTATATACTTGAAAACAACACTGTCTCGCTTCTGCCTACGTACTGTACCTCTGTATAATGAGTATACCGTGAAAATAATATTAGCACTCAATTGAATGCCTAGAATCTCAAAGATTTTCGACTCAATATTTACGTCTGAAATGTTTATACACTTAACTGCACTGTCTAGGCGGTCTAGCTCCTTCCTAGGTCTGTATAATGAATATACCGTCTAAATATTATCCGCATTTAATTGAACGCCCGTAATGCATAAGATCAATTTATATATTGCGTAGATTTTCAAAGATTTACTCAATATTCACGTCTGAAATGTTTATACATCTGAAAACAACACTGTCACTCCTTCCTAGCATATCGTCACGCCATCGTGATCTACGGCTTGATAGCGCATGCGCATTTGCGCTATTAAAGAAAATAACGGGTGTTCCGGGGTAAAGATCCTTTAAACAACATGAGAAGCGAATGTTCTAAAAGTTACAAAGAATTACAATAACGAAAGCGATTCCTCGAAATTTTTGTGAACTTGGCAAAAGGATAACAGAATATGTAAATAAGTTAACTGAAATTGCCTAAATAACCTTCAAAGTACTGACTAGGCAGCCTAGACCTAGGCCTTCTAGTCTTATTTATATATTTTTAATATTCAGCGCTTTTTCACATGAAAAGACTGGGACTAGGTGATTTGGTGGCGGGGCGGAGGAACCAACCCTAGAAGGCCTAGTGGATTTCCCAACAACAAGGCCAAAACTGCCCTGAAACTGCCCTGGTTTGAAATGCACAATTATTGCGTTCTCAAACAGAATTATTTGCAACTTAACGGCGAATTTAAACCGATACAGGTAAAATAAACTCATTTATAGTATAAACTAACTATTTTTATTTGTATACACGTCTAGAAAATCGGAGTTTTTATCATAAAGTTTGAAGCAACACTATTATTTAATATGTTGACAAGGTGAAGCGAAAGCACAAAATGAGTCAAAATATATACCAAAAGTAGAATCTTTCAGGAAATTTTGTCTTATACACAACTACATTAATATATATTTTCTCAATTTTGGCAAGAAGCAGTCTTGTGTTTGTAAAATATACAAACACATATACAATTATAATTTATTAAATAAAACGGATACATATATTATTAGCCCGTACAGTACTGTATATAAAAACGTACATTGTTTACAAACGGTATATCCGTAATATTTGAACAATAATTTCAAAATCCTCATTCCCAATTCGCAAATATAGTTATTCAAAGCAAAACAGTAGATTGTCTTGCGAAGAAAAGAATTATTATTTTGTGCTTTCGCTACACCTTGTCAACATAATAATAGTGTTGCTTCAAACTTTATGATAAAAAACCCGATTTTCTAGACGTGTATACAAATAAAAATAGTAAGTTTATACTATAAATGAGTTTATTTTACCTGTATCGGTTTAAATTCGCTGTTAAGTTGAAAATAATTCTGTTTGAGAACGCAACAATTGGGCATTTCGCAATCAGGGCAGTTTCAGGGCAGTTTTGGCCTTGTTGTTGGGAAATCCACTAGGCCTTCTATTTTTTCGCTTGCGTCAGGCTTGTGTCCTTCCTCCGCCCCGCCCCCAAATCACCTAGTCCCAGTCTTTTCATGTGAAAAAGCGCTGAATATTAAAAAAATATAAATAAAAATAGAAGGCCTAGGTCTAGGCTGCTGACTAAGTACAATAAATCACTACGAACATAAATCGTATACACCCCCGGAAAGTTTACTCTATGATTGACTGATTCGTGTGAATTCGCCAGCCATCACAATAGTGTGAAGTGAAACTTCACACTAAAAACTATAAAGAATATGATTATGTAATTTCATGTTGCCCTGACAACCTCTTCAGACACTTCATCTCTGGAAAATATAGTGGTTTCATAGGCCTATCAAGGCGAGGCGATTCTGCATGCATGTCTAGTGTGGTATTATAATCCACAATCTTTTCAGATCTACACAAGAACAGCCTGTTTTGCCGCTTTTTGTGTCCAACGCTTACGTTGAGTTGTTCTGTTTTCATTTAATGAAATTAGCTTTTATAATTTATTTCATCGTCTTTCGCCTTTGTCAAGAAAATTTTTGTAGCTTTTTAGTAGTATTTTTTTGGTGGAGTTGGGAAAATTTTTTGCTTTTTCATGTGTCCTGTTCGCTGCTTTTGCTCTTCGTTTTTCGTCTATTGTTTCTTGCTTTTCAATAAATATTAGATATAAAAGTCTATATAAATTTTTGCCAAGAATTCGAAAGCGGAAACAAAGCAAGAAAAACCAAAAAATCTAGACAGCGCATTATTACGTTATCACACTGCGCATATTAGCCAATCAAATTACGTGTTACATCCCACATGCATATATTATAATATCAGTGATGTAGTTAATAACTCGGAATTAATTTTTACCTTTTTTCTTTTCTAGTATTAGTAAACTAGGTAATCGCAGTTACCCTATCAAAATCTGCAGGATTTAGCCTCATCTTATACGACAGAGGCAAAATTATATTCCGGTAGACAACGGCATTAATACGGAAACTAAACTTTTGGGGTCGCACCAAGGCACATCCAATCGACGGCTATTATGTATTAATTACGAATTATCGGCAAGTAGCTTCCTCAATACAAGCAGTAATCATAATACATGCAGGTATTGTACAAATTTAAAATCCAACCTTTCATTGCTTTAACTGCAACTTGGGTTACTTCTTTACAAAAGACATAGCTGTTTCTTTTCGTTGTGCGATTGAAGAATAAGAACCTTCGTCCACCCTCTCTTTCTCTCAACATGTCTCTTGGATGAAATGCAGATATACCAATTGCATCGGCTAACCAAACAATTCCGAATTGTCCAGAGCCAAGTTCCCTGGCTGAAAAAAAAAAAATTATTTTGTAATCTATTTCGAAACTACAGGCAATGTGCTGAGACTAAACTGCTGGGAGACAGGAAAAACTTAAACCTTATTATAGAAAGAACACTGCTTTCAATTTTATATTGTCATTTTTTATAGTTCGTATAGGAGTAAAAAAAAATACTTGTGCATCAGTGAAAAAAATCACCATTCAAGTCACTTATTCGTTATTGTTTCGTTGATCAATGTCAATGGCAAACGCTGCTTATATACAAGGAAAGCTTGAAGCGCTCAAAACTACTACTGGTTATATGAAAATGATTTGCTTTTTTCTAGATATGTCAGTTTACAAGGATATTAACAGTTTATGTTAAATTATACAGGGCGTAGATAATGTTTAATTATTCCATAATTAAAAATATTGCCTCATTTTAAATATTTGTTATTGCGAATTACATCAACGTGGATGCTTTCTCTTCGTCGATTATTGTACAAAAAGAAATTACATACCAAAGCTAATTCTTTCTCTTGGAAATTCCCATTCTGGTATGAACGGCAGTTTCTGAAGCTGTTCTTGAATATTTCCATTTCTATCTAAGATCTCCATGTAGTCAGGTAAAGGAGGATATGAAAACAGGTAAAACCCGCCGTAAATTTGCTTTCTTCTGTACAACACAAAACCTGCCACAACCACAATTATCATGGACGTCAATCCAGTTGGAACGACAATCGAGATCAGTGTTCGTATCTGGTCAGATGACGTAGAAGCACCTTTTTGGAAACAAATTTACTATTCTTAATAAATCTTTGCTTAGCTGTTACACCACATGCAGTGTCGCAATTTATTTTTTTTGGTATGGGGCAAACACTGCGGAATTGCGGCAAACACTTGACACCTAATCTTAGTCAACAGTCATCTTAACTGAGGATGCGTAGATATTATAATTAGAAAAGTTTTATTTTACTGGAAGAAACTCAAAAATATACACATTAAAACAAAAAGCTACAGTCAACAGTAATATATATTCCATTTTGTACAAAAAATATATTTTAGAAAATTATACTTGTTGCTATGGAAACATTTTCTATGGAAACACTATGAATACGCTAACCATCGTTTAGTGTTGGCTAACCATGCGTTTATTTTTGGTATTGTTATTTAGATGGAGGTAATGAGAGGACGATCTTTGACAATAGTTATGAATGATTTATGTACTGTCCAATAAACGAGCAGGAGTGTTTTATTAGGTTTAAAGCCACGAGCGCGTAGCGCGAGTGGCTTTAGACCTAATAAAACACGACCTGCGAGTTTATTAAACGGCTTCAAACACGACTACAAATTCAATAGATATACTGCTTTATTAGTATTCTTTATATAAAGAATACTAATTAGGAGTGTTTCATGAGGTTTAAAGCAACTGCACGTGACATATTATGGTTGACATGATTTGCCAATAAGCGTATGAATTATTACTGAGTGTTTGAAGTGTTAATAACCAAACCACGCGAGTAGGGCGAGAAGCCTGAGGCTAGTGTTCTAACTCCCATCCGCTTTTTTATTAAGGTAAAGAAAAAGCACGTGTATTGAAAACTTCTTCCATTTATAGCAGGCGCATCCTTATGCTTCGTGGGAGGTTGGTGGTAGCGAAATGAACCCAACTGCATGGAACGCTAACTTCAGATTAATACTAGAAAATACATTCATGCAGAAACCCTCGCCTTCCAGATAAAACCATTTCGTTTTCCGGACATAAAGTATTTAAAGTAGTTGTCATCGTGACACGATAATTTTATTTAGAAGATTTTTGCAAGTGAAAATACCCTAAAAATATCACTTTTGTTAATTTCAAAATTATCAATTTCCCCAACCTTAGTGTTTTAGGTATGTTATTATACGTAATATAAGCTTTTATTTTATTGTAAAATCCAACCACAAACGCTTCGCAAAACGTTTTAGAATGTTCTTTACAAAACTAAACTGCCTTTATCGATAAACTAAACTGCCTTTCTTGATTGCTAATAACTTTGGCAAAAATTTTTTATATAATAAAAAACGGTAATCAATAAAGATACATTGAAATCATATGCTGTCTTTTTTCATTTCAAATATTCGCAACAATCAGCTTTTAAAGCAATTATAAAGCAAATAATGCATCAATATTTAAAAAAAACTTACCTTTGTTAACGTCGGCGCCTTTGCTCCCTTCTTTTAGCAATTCTTTTGCCTTTTTTTCTCCAAAAGCTTTCGAAAGTTGCACAATCTTGCATAAATGAAACACATTTGCAAGACGTCATCAAGTCAAGAAATGTTTGCTATTTCGCTGTCCAACATGAGCTCCACCTTTGAATTTACTATATGAGTAAATTCTTAAACACGTCCGAATTTATCATTATGATAAATTCGCGGCACATTTTGAATTTATCAATAGAGTTAATCATAAAACCACAAGCATTAGACAAGACTTCTTGTTATAAATGTAATGGCACCAAAAGGGAGGCTGGTCGCGCGGGGGGTGGAGTTTTTCAAGTTTTTAAAAAAAATAGTTTTTAAAGGACAATGGCAACAAAATTTTTTATTGTCTATATTAAAAGTGTTGCTTCATCTAACTATAAATATGATATTAATACCGTGTCAAACATTTTTGTTCAGGAGTTATATGCATGTTATTTCACTGTTAATTTATATATCGTCGGCCATCTTGGCTCGTATTTGCGAAAAATTATCTTTTGGGTAATATGATCCGTATGACGTAGATGGCAGGGTAGAATCAAAACAACAATATCTTTTGTATAGCGTGTTTCGAGATTTAATACGTTCCCTCAAAAAATTAATGCTTTTGAGTCATTTTAATGGAAAATATTTACGAGAACCAAGCAGTAGAAGTGTTATCATACCAATATGAACCAGAAATAGGAGAAAAACAAGCAATATTTTAATTTTGGGATAGGTATAAATATAGAACCTCTACATGCGTCTTGGACCTTTTGTTTGTGGTTTACTTATAATCATTTATTTAATGGATTTCTTTTATTTTCAACGGTGTATTGAATGTAGACGATGCCGTTAAATATTGTATATTAGGTGCACGCGTATAATGCGTGCCGCGTGCGCTGTTTTGTGTCTTCAGTTTATGTCAATCCATTGTAGAAATAGTATACCGCAATTGAAGCTAGTATGTACTGTAAGTAAAGTTATTACTTGGCAACGCTTCCCTTTTCAATTGTATTCTAAACGTTTCATTGCACTGTATTCGTTTTAAAAACTTTGGCGACTGTCCTTGTTCATACGCGTCTTCGGCAAAATGAAGCGGTGAGCATATATTCTAGTCACATCGTCGCGACGATAGTTTAATGCTTTGCGCTTATACAGAATTCAATCCACGCTTTTCTCCTATATTGCTGATCTACCGATTTGCCCTTTGGAAAATTGAAGAAACAGATTTCACTTGTGTGTTGGCTGTCACTATTACAACCGTAGACGGCAATACATGTTTTGCAGTGCACCTTACGTTTTACATGAACAATCTAGATATTTTCGTTATTCAAGCCGTACTCAGAGCTGACTATAGATAATATTTGCAATTTCGGTGATATATATATATATATATATTCCCACACGTGAATTTAGGGTATTTTACATACCAATGAAAATATTGATAATATTGGGAACTATACACTACAGTACATGCATATATTTATCTATATAAAATGAGAACCAAGTAAAACTACATGTAAAAATACATCACAACATATAACCAGATTATAGTTATTTTACACTTATCTCTTGTCTGGGAAAATCCCATACTGACCTTGAATGTCAATTTACTAATATGCGCAATGTCTAACTTGCGTGACACTACACATTACAGAAGAGGCAAATCTTGTTTGTGAGATAACAGCTATTTCACTAGCATAGCAATGTCGTTTGAAAGCCTGCTTAGTTTTAAAAACAATTAATAGTTGTGAAATCTGAAGCTAGAATTATCCACTGCAACATTGTTGCAGTTCCGCCAGTTAATTGGTTGAATTATTTTTGCATAACCGGAGTCAATGTCTAAGCGCATTTTACAACGCAAATATACGCTTACTGTCGAAAACACAGTCACAGACCATTGGGAGTAAGCTGCTACACATTTTTGAACTATGAATACACGTTGCAACGTATGTTTAATTTTTTTGTAAACATTTTCTTCCAAATCTCAACGTTGTTACGGTGTAACTTATACTGTGGGATTTGCGTTTACTCTGCCATCTACGTCACGAAATGTATTCATGCATAAATTAGCATACGCGGAATTTTCCCGAGATGGCGGACGACTGTTAAAATTTGTTAAACATTTTCGCAAATTATCTGAACAACTAAATGCAATAGACAAACAAAAATATGAAGTTAAGTATTCCATTAGTAAGCTTAATAAATACAGACAATAAAAAAATTTGTTGCCATTGTCCTTTAAGTTTACAGAACACCTTTAATTGAGTGTTAATTTTGCCTAAAATTTTTTTATTGGTTTCCATGAAAGCATTAGACTAGTTCTACTATCTGACCAAGTTTAGACGAAATATGTTGAAAATTCGCAGAGTTATTTAAATTAATAAAAAACATTTCGCTTCCAATAAGAAAAACATTGAAAACGTAATATTCAAATTCAATTTTCTCCCGAAGAACTTTACGACAATTACTGATTTTTAAACGAGTTATGCTCCTGCGGGTTTTAACGAATGTTTCTCAAATTTTCACAGGACATAGCTAAAGACCTCCGTTTCAAAATTTTGTTCGGCTTTGTTCTAATTTTGGATATTTTAATAATAAGGAGCAATTCACACAAACGAATCAGAAATATATTGCAGTCGTCAAAGAAATCGCCATATCAGCGGAATGACAAAATAAACAAAAATTTCCGAACACAATTTTTTAGAACAACTATTTTACTGTGTAAAAATGATATTTCCATAAATATATCTTAAAACCAGCAGGAACATAACTCAAAAGCGTAAAGGTACCGCGACTTAAGATTTTCCTGAATAATTCTTACATTATTTTATTGTTTGTCAATGTTACAACTTTATCATATTTTGCATGCACTGGCTAACATTTGGTGAAAATTTGATGAAAATCGGACGGATTTTGAGCGCGCAGTAGCGATTTTCCTCAAAACGCCAAAAAGGGTGTCCTCTAACCTTAAAAAAGTTTTAAAAAGTTTTAAAAGAGTTTTGAAAAGCAAGAAAAGTTTAAAAAGTTAGATTTTTAAAAAAGTTAAAAAAGTTTAAAAAATTTAAAAAGTTAAAAAAGTTAGGGTTAGGGGTTAGTGGTTAGGGGTTAGGGGTTAGGGTTGGGGTTGGGGTTAGGGTTAGTGTTAGGTGCCGCGAATTTATTATTATGATAAATTCAAAATTTGCCGCGAATTTATCATAATGATAAATTCGGACGTGTTTAAGAATTTACTCATATAGTAAATTCAAAGGTGGAGCTCATGCTGCGCTGTCGTCATGCAGTCGTTATAATGCATATTTTAAATTGGACTTATCAGTGTTCACTATTTATGACAGTCCGCGCTATATTTGGAGATCAGCGAGGCTGACCACCCACGCACGGTAACACACGCCCCCGATCAATGATGAACTTTGGGCTTCGCTAATGCTTTCCTTTCCCCGGGGATAAATAGCTAGGCGGAATTAGCACCCTGGCCCCGGCCTTACGCCCGAAACGGCGCTCAGCAAACTATAGGCGAGGGGTTGTTGCGTGCACGTGATTCTAGTCATAAATATACAATTAGGCCATCACATGTCTGCTCTATCTTTCCAGTTCGTTGCAGATCTCGGGAGGCTAAAAAATTCCGCCATAACACAATGCATATTAGTCTCCTTGTTCATGAAATACAAAACCCCCGTTCACTAGTGTGCACAATAGGTAGAAAATTGACTTGAATCTTTGATAATATTCGATCAATGTTTTGTTTACGCCATCTTGAAATCGTGCGTGTTTCCATGGAAATATAGCTGCCACGCGTGGATAAAAGCAATATAGCGGCTCAAACAAGTTGGTCACTCAAACTTTAAAATTGAATAAATGTTGTATTCATTTTGAGGATGTTTTACAATCACTTCTAAAGGTCACAGAGAAGCGTCTGAAGAGATTTGTTGCCTGTCGTGAGAAATTGGCGAAGCACAAAAGACCAGAAATCTGTCACAATTCGGACTTGTTTACTAGCGAAGATGGGGCCACCATTTAATTATACCCCCCCCCCCTATAGACGAGAGTTTCTGAGGGGGGTTGAAAAAGCTGTTTCTGAGGGGTTGTGTGCATCCTATAGACGAGAGTTTCTGAGGGGGTTGAAAAAGCTGTTTCTGAGGGGTTGTGTGCGTTGGCATACTTTGATCTTTGCATTTTTTCTGAGGGGTAAGGCAAAAATTTCTTAATTTCTGGGGGGGGGGGGGTGTTTGTATCGGCACTTTGATCTTTTCTTCTTTATAGGGCCTTATATGGGTTCAAATTTTATCGAACTCGTCCATAGGGACGGGGTGTACATTAAGTTTAAAGTGCGGTACAGTCTGTATGTAAACAAAGGCTTTGTTTACATGTTGGTATCCAAAACATTGAATTTCATTCGACAACTATTTATATTTTCATGATTCTAGAGTATAATAAATAATTATCAAGACACAACAATTACGCTTTTACTGTTTGTATAATAAAAAGAGGGCTCCTTTGTGCACATGCACAGATCGGACTGTACTGCATCTTTAATGTCCAGACCCCCCCCCCCGTCCTCCTTGCATGAATTTTTCTGAAGGGTGACCCCAAAGTCATTTCTGTGCGGTTAAGCCTGTCGGCATACTTTGATGTTTTTTATTGTTCTGAGGGGTAAGGGAAAATTTACAAATATCAGAGGGGTTTTGTGTCAGGCTGTCAGCACTTTGATCTTTTTTTCTTGGGAGTTAAAATTTTACTGACCTTATTGATAGGAGGGGGATGTGGATATTAAATAGATAGCCCAATGTAGAAAGGCATTTTTCATGCTCTAACTGCTGTGGGGAACTTGAAGGGTGTTTGGGTGCCCAGAAGCGGCTACCATGACCCCCCCCCCCAAAAAAAAAGACCATGAACATTTTGCCAGTACATTGGGAAAATTGGCCTGAGCCTCAGTTGTATATGGTCAGAAAATTTGCAACAGGTGGCCCCCAAAAGCAGGAATTGGTGAAATTGTGAAATTCAGACCCTCTTTATAGTAGAGATACACAGGGAAAAATTTGTTATTTTTAAGGAATATGGTTTGAAAAATTTTTTTCTTTCCCACCCCCAACTTAAGTTTGAAAAAATAAAGCCCCACTTAAAAAATAAATGGGGGCCTCAGGAGGCACTGGGAACTCGACTGGTATTACCATGAGAACTGCTATAAAAGACTTTGTGATTAAAACAAGTTGCAAAAAGTGGAGGAAAAGAGAACATGAGGCAGTGAAATCTTAATTGGCTGTGAAGTTGCAGACTGTTCCACCAAAGAAGCTTTTACACTCATCACTTGACAATGATGGTCCCAAAAATAGTGACATGAGGGCTAGATCACCAAATGTTTTGCCCCCAGTATGCATAATATGCGAGAAACAATCCGATTTGTTTGTCATGGTATGTCTTACATTGTAATTATATGGTATACTGCGATTTCCAGTTGAGTATGGAATTGCGAAAATTTGTTCGTCAAGTTTTGTCCTTTGAAAACAATGTTTGTGACATCATTCTATGTTGTTGCTAGGCGAGCTGACAATGTTGTCAAGTAAAATACTGCCAAGTTCACGAGTATAAATAGAAATTTATTTCGTTTTGTAATGATTGACAGTTTTTAACGGTTTTTACTTGACAACATTTGGTGCTCGCCTGGTAACATTATAGAATGACGTCACAAACATTGTTTTCAAACGACAAAAGTTAACGAACAAACTCTACGAACAAACTTTCGTAATTCCATACTCAACTGGAAATCACAGTATTTATCATTAAATGAAATCAATATACAGTTGCTTGTAAATGGTTTTATTATTATTATTATTATTTAAAAATATTTCAAAACGGTAGTCCTTCAGGGCACATAGGCACCTGCTTTTCACAGAGCCGTTTGCAAACTACTTAAATTAACAATACAAATATAAATTAATTTACAACTATTACACTACCTATATTACTAGTTGCATAGATTACTAATTACAAGAACACAGCTGCGGTCAAGAATAGATTTAAATTTACTAAGGCTGTTTTGTTCCTTAGCTAAACTTGGTAAGCTGTTTCGTAAGGATGCAGCCGAGTAACTAATACTCTTTTTCATAAAATTTGTTACTGGCTTTCCAAGGGAGAAGTTTATATTGTTACTACGCAATTGATACACTTGGTTCTCTTTGATTTTAAACATTTCTATTACTGATTGTGGCATGACGTTATTTTTTATTTTGTGCATAAAAATACATTTGTTTCTCTTTAGTCGTTCGCTTAAGGGCTGCCAATTCAGCTCTTTTAAAACATCGTTAGATCTGGTTTCATATGTTCTGCCCGTAATCACCCTTGCAGCCCGATTTTGTAATTTTTGCAGTTTGTTTAACAGATAATCAGAACAGTTATCCCAAACAAGACTGCAATAATCAAAATGTGACAGCACAATAGCATTGTATACTTTTAACAAGGTTGATTGTGGAACAAATTTCTTTATTCTCCGAATCATTCCTATACCTTTTGAAGATTTTGAAACAATACTTTGTATTTGGTCGTTCCACGATGAGATGAGAGGTGCTCATCAACAATAACCCCCAAAGTTTTAGATTTGTTGACTCGCTTTATTGTTGAGTCACCAAGTTTGACTATAGGATCTGTTGAAATGTTTAAAATGCGTTGTCGTGAGCCAACAATCATGTATTCAGTTTTCTTTTTATTAAGAGTGAGTTTCGAAGTTAGCAATTGGTGCACATTTTCTAAATCGGTATTTAAGCGTTATTGTATTTCAGTGTAAGTTTTACCTTGAGTAGAAATATTTGTGTCATCAGCAAACATACTTGCCGAGGATAATGATAGACAGTTCGGAAGGTCGTTTATATATAGAAGAAACAGCAATGGGCCTAAGTTAGAACCTTGTGGTATGCCACATTTAACCGTTCTTTCATTAGATGTAATTTGATCCACCTTGCAAATTTGTATCTGATTAGTATGATAGGATTGAAACCAAGCTAGATCACGACCTCTTATTCCATAATAATCCATTTTTGTTGTAAGTATATTATGATCTACACAGTCAAATGCCTTTTTAAGGTCAAGGAAAATAACTCCATTCAAACACCCCCTATCCATATTTAGCAGCCATTGATTTGTTGTACAAAGGAGAGATGTTTGAGTGGAGTGTTTCCTCTGAAAACCTGCTTGTTGTTCTATGAGTAAACCGTTAGAATCTAAATACGTATTAAGCTGTTCTGAAATTAATTTCTCAAATATTTTTGCAACACATGATAAAACTGAAATTGGTCTATAATTATCACATATTAATTTGCTGTCAGATTTATGAATTGGCGAGATTATAGCAATCTTAAAGTCGTCAGGAAAAATGCCCAAGTTTATTGAAGCATTAAATATCGCTGCTAATGAGGGAGCTATTTCTTCAGCTGCATCTTTGAGACGTTTTGGCGGAATTCTATCATGTCCTGCTGATTGTGATGTTTTCATTATGGAAAGTAATTTGTATATTTCTATTTGAGAAACATTTTGTATTGAGAATTCTGTGCTTGTATAAGTTAAATGGGATTCTGGCGTCCTACCGCTGTTCGGTATTTCGTTAGCTAATTCTGGTCCGACTTCACTAAAATATGTGTTTAAAGCATTTGCAATTTCAGACTTTTTAGTTAAAACTTGATTATGGTAGTTTTTGAGCTTTTGTTAGTAAGTTTATTAACCGCTTTCCACATTTCTTTAGGATTATTATCGCATTCGTTCAAGGTATTCATAAAATATTCAGCTTTTGTGTTTTTAATTAACCTATTTAAATCGTTTCGAGTTCTCCTATACGCATCATGAAATTGTTTCCATCCTGTTTTAACAGCCTTTTTCTTTAAGTAATCTCTTTGGCGCATGACTTGTCTAATGTTGTTTGTTATCCACGGAGCATATTGGCTTCTTACTCTTTTAGTAATCGGAGGAGCATGAAAATCAGCGACAGTTAAAAATCTTGTTTTCCATTTTTCCCACATTACATTTGGATCAAGCGTACTGTTCAAAAATATTTCATCGTTTAAATATGTAAAAATATCTGCCTTAAAATTATTGGCATTATATTGCTTATATTGCCTAGTTTTGACAATCTTAGGTTCCCCACGGGGAATGGAAATGCTTCTTTGGATATAAATCATACTATGGTCTCTGATTCCCAGATGAATGACTCCTGAGCCATTAATTAATTCAGGTTTGTTTGTAAAGGCCAAATCGATTAGTCTCTTAGTTGTTGCCGTAACTCGAGTTGGCTCTTTAATTAACTGCTCAAATTGAAGGGTATTCATAATTTCGGCAAGTATGTTTGTGTGAGCATTGGCCTCATTATTAGCCAAAAGAGACCAATCGCAGTTGAAATCACCAATTAAAATAACTTCCTTATTTTCGGAATCCATTTGGGTAATTAAATTCTCGTAGGTATTTAGGTATTCTTGCGAGCTATTCGGTGGTCTATACCAACTATTAATTATAAATGGTCTGGCTTTCGGCTTCGTAATTTCAAGTGTTAATGTCTCAAGACTTTCATCTCTCACTGTATAGTTTAAAGAATTGCGTAGGTAAATTGCAACTCCCCCACCATGCCGATTTCTATCCTTTCTTACAATGTCATATCCATTAATTTTAATTTCATAGTCTGAAATAGAGGAATCGAGCATGGTTTCATTTAAGCTAATTATATCGAAATATTGCTCTTCAAGGTATATTCTTAGTTCTTTGATATGCTTATATAAACTTCTTACATTTAAATGCGCAACTTTAAATCCCCTTGTTTTGGGGAAAGCGTGTTTTGGGATTTTATTGCATAGTTTATTAGAATTTAAATTGGTTAAATCTCTCTCAACCACAGCTGAATATCAATTTACAGATTGATTTAAAAAACGTTTGAAGTTACCAGCTAGCATCGCTGTTCCTCGCTGGTTGAGGTGAAGACCATACTTATTAAGATGTAATTTGTTAATATTATTATGTTTTATAAGTCTCCAATTGCGTTCTAGGCAAATATTTTCTAATTTCTCATTATACGTGTTTACCTTGTCGGCCAACAGCGCATCATCGTTTCTAGCTATGACTATGGATAGAGTAAGCTCAATGCTATTACCTTCTTGAATAGACTCACCAGTTTTTGTATCGTTGAGATCATCACTTCAGGAGATTTATTTCGAAGATCATTTGTTCCAATGTGCAATATAATATGATCAGGTTGCTTTTCAGTTGTTGGTTTCACATAGTGGAGCATGTCTTCGATGCTGGCCCCAGGGAAGGTCTCGATATTAACTTTGCCGTTTATCCCTTGTTGCAATTTCCTAGGATTTAGATGCTTCAAGATTGAATCACCAACGATAACTGTATTAGTAGGGTGTTTTGATTCGTCGAGATTGGTTTTGTGTGGATAAGTCCTTCGTTGTTGTTTACCTGATTGCTGTGAATGCCGTCGTGATTCTGAGTCTCCGGCGTCCTGCTTCGGCTCGGTTGCTTGACAGTTTCGTTGATCAATATCTTGTCTTGGACTATCTGTGGTTTCATTATTCCTGGCATCCATGATAGTCTCCGTTCCTTCATCGTCCTCAACATGCAGAATAGAGTATCTGTTATTCAGAATTGTATCATGATGGGCACTTTGAGTTGAAGCTTTTGAACGAGTCGTAATCCATGGGTTTTGTGTTTGATACGCGTGGTTGAATTTATTGTTCTTTGTTGGGCTAGTTGTAATAGCTTGTTCATCATTGAGAAGGCGAATGACTGTCACGAGGCTAGCCTTTTCATTTTCAGCAGTTGTTAACTTTGCGTTTAGTTCTGTTAAGACACTTTTCAAACCAGCTAACTCTGTTTCAAGAATTCCATTCTGTTCTTTCAGTAAAATATTTTCCTGAACGAGTTGATCCGAATCTGTCGAGGTTTTCCAAATTTCACATACGTTTATAAGTTCATTCAAGACAATCGACGACTCGGTTCGATGCTTTTCAAACTGTTGTGTCAGTGAATCCAGACGCTTTACAACATCGTTGAGTGAAGTCTCTTCTGGGCACAGCAAAGTTTCTTTGCATCCTTGCACAACCTGATTAATCATCACATTGTCAAACAAGTCGCTTGTCGAATCCTCGTAAAATTCCTCGGACTCCGACAACTCCCCAGTCGATAAGTTTGAGCTGTCTAAACACGGCGAAGAGAAATTTAGCATGAACTTATTAATATTCTCAAGGGAAGGCATGTGCAGGGGCGTTAAGTCTTCGACATCGCCAACACACAATTTGGATTCATGGTACAGCGATCACGTAGCAAAATAATCACCTGAATAATATTTATTCCAAAATTATTACCCGTGAAGAATAACCTTTGTTGCGTGTGAGACTTACAGGATCTTATTAAAAATTGTGGAAAAGATTGTGTTGCCATTGAGGTTAAGTACCATAATAACTATTTGTATGGACAGGATAAGACATCATGTGAAACAACTTCAATGATTTTGTACAACATGGGATATGATGATAATCACAGCGCTACACAGTCCATATTGAATGATCGAACTACAAATTCTGTATCATGCTTCTATTTTGCTTAAGAAAAAGCTAGCCACTGTGAAGTGGCTTATGGCCCCTTGGCTGCCTGTAGCTGAATGAATAACTTTACTAAATGAATTTCTTGTAAAGAAGTTATTCTACAGAATTAATAGCAGATTTTCGATGTTCAGTGATATTGCCTGTTGAGTAATGTGCCTGTTGAGTAATAATAAGTCATGGCTTGCTTGTGTGCAGCGTGCATTGGTAAAATTTGGCCATGTAATATCAGAACTACTCCAAAAGAACGGTCTGATCATGGTGAAATTAGTTAGTCTGGCGACATGTGCAACAGATTCCATGACAGGTAAACAATTTGAATGTTTTAGTCGCATTTTAGTTTTCTGACTTGCATCACCACTTTAATTCACACACTGTGGTGCACAATTTAAGGTACCAGTGCAAAATAAGCCCTTTCCCTGCATACAGTCTGTCAATATAAGCTTTACTGGAGAAACAAAAATGCTGACTCAGCATTTTTAAAAAACTTTGGAACGTGATATCTCTGTAATGAACGACTGAAAGTTTTCAGTGTAATATAGTTTTTTTGTCCAATTATGCACCTCAATCTGATGGCAATAAACATTTTTCAAAATTCGAACATTTTTACCTTTCGGATCTATAGATGATGTCATCACCAGAATATAGTCGATTTCTCGTTGTTGTGCACACTTACGACCGGGGGCTTTTTTTATTATTTCATTTGGCATGGTACTCTACTACTTTACGAAAGAAATCATTAGCCTCCCGATGTGTGCAACGAAAGTCACTTTCTAGGCATATTTTTAGCCTTATGTGATGGCCTATAACTTCATAATACTTATCTATACTAGAAAATACATGCATGCAGAAACCCTCGCCTTACTGACAAAACATTATGTTTTCTGAATATGAAGAATTGAAAGTAGTTGTCATGGTAACACGATAATTTTAAGAATAGTTTTAAAATTGAGAAATCCCCCCCAAAATATTGCAATATATATGCTAGGTATGTTATTATACGTAACATAAGCTTCAATTTAATGTAAAATTCAACCACAAATGCTTCGCAAAACGTTTTAAAATGTTCTTAAAACTAATCGGCCTTTTATCGAATTATTGGTAAACATTGAGTTTGGAATATACTGATTTCAAATTCTAGCATAAAAATAACTTTGCTTTCCTCTTTATTTAAATACTTTAATGTACAAAAGAAAGGGTAATTAATAAAACTATACACTGTAATTATATGCTGTAGGTGGTGTGTCTTTTATCGCTATTAACTATCAGTTCGATATTCGCAGTATCGCCCGCCACTATCAGTTATAAATATATCAATTATAAAATAAACAATACATCAATATTTAAAACAAACTTACCCTCATTAACGTCGGCGACTTTGCTCTATTGTTTTAGACGTTTTTGGCTTTCATAAAGGTTTTGAAATTTACAAAATCTTGCAAAAATACAACTTGCAAGAAATCTTCGTTATTTCGCTGTCGTCAGTGCAGTCGTTATAATGCACATTTCAAATTTGACCAATCAGTGTTCACTATTCACGACAGTCCGCTACATATTTTGAGATCAGTGAGGATGACCACCCATGAACGATGAGCCATGCGCCCACGGTATTTGATGAACTTTAGACTCCGCTAGTGCATTCCTTTCCCCGGGTGTAAATAGCCGGGCAGAATTAGTACCCTGGCACGGTGCTTTGCGCCGTTGGCTCTGGGAATATAATTACAGTATGGTTGTTTATATAATTATCATGTTATTATTATTATATTATTATAATTGTAATTTTCCATCTTCATCAAATTTCATCGAGTTGATCCTCAAAAATAAGGAAAAATGGAAAAGGTTGTTAATCAACAAATAAAAATCACAAAAACTACAGAATACCATGAGTATGATACTAAAAATGAAACTAATATAATAAAATAATTACATCACTTTCAATCGTCCACAAAATATTTGAGACAAACCCCCTCCCCCGATTTCAATGTTGTTAGGCACTACAATATGGTTTAATTCCAACATCATATGTTACATTTCAACTGCCAGTGACACAGTTGCAGTTCTAGTGTCACCTTATGTTCGTTTTGGATAAGTACAGTAGGTTTCAACATTGAAATAAGGGGGGAGGGGATTGATTTAAAAAGTCTCAATATATTTTGTGGACGATTGTCTTAAAAATTGATAAGACTTAGTTAAAAGCATCTTGAAATTTTCAGTGAAATCACTTTGTGTGCATGTGTAGTAGTCACTGTGATGATACTATTCGGGTTATTGTTCACATGTAGAATAGTACAGTACTGTCAAGTCGCCCAGGGGGGGAGGGGAGATATAAAAGAAATGGGGGAGCGATCCAAAAAGTATCAGTATATATTTGGTAGACGATTATATCAGAAATCAAGAAAACTTAGATGGCAGCAGCTCAAAGTGATTTGAAATCATGTTATATGCGGCACAATAGCTGGGAGGGGGGTGGAGAATTTAATTCCCAGAAGTGTGGCAAGGATTAAATATTTAAGGAATTTTTCTGAAGTAATATAAGCGTGTTACTATTCACTATAATTTGGATAGTATTGTGAAGCCCATACCAAGATCTCTACATTGTATAATGGTACCATATCAAGTCGTCTTCTGAGCTGGGTGCGATGGGGTGGGGTGGGGGGAGTGCGGTCGAGTACATTCTTGGATCGGTCCGTTAAGTTAGAGAATTAACCGTGCATAGTTCTTAGGTAAAGTTGTATAACTTCGCATTGGATTAATAATACTTTAGTTACTGAACTTAATGGATAATTGAATGTTGATGAAACTATAAGCATTTTTTAATTAATTTTTGATTACTTGGTGGAGTCACAGTTTTAATTTATTCCAGTTACCATGAAGTAATGTTTGATATGGCTATTGAAATATAAAATTACTAAAGCAACGTGTTACCACGCATTGCCACATGCGTTACCATGTACTAATTGTTTTATAATATGGCTTTTCTATTACAAACAGAACACATTACCACACGTTACCATACGTGTTACCATGTACTAATTGTTTATTTGGCTTTTCTATTACTAAAACAGTGCATTTCCATGTGTTATCTCGGATAACCATACGCGTTAACGCCTAGTAACGCGTATGGTTATGGTATTTTGTTGATAAAGCAACACGTTACCGTCAAGTTTTATAAAAATGTATATAGTAGTTTTTTTTAAATAAAAGATGGTAACGCGTGCGCAACTCATGGTAACACGTTGTTAATCATTGCTTGCATATCGATCTTGTAGTTTTGAACCGTTAGAAATGAACTTTTACTGCGGAAGTTTTATTGTAGCAATAATAACTATTTGATATTAGTGGTAACACGTATGGTAACGCGTTGTTAAAATTTGAATTTGGAGCTAAAACAGGTAGCCCATGCATATACATTAATTAAACTAATCCGAATGGCTAATTTCCAGTTTGAGAACGAGGTTGTTTACATTTTGGCGTTGTTCTTGAATTTACATAGTACATTAAAATAGAAAAATCTGGATTTGTGATGGATTGCGTGTTATTCATTATCGATATATTTTTTTCGAATCGAAGGCAAGCTTGCGAAGGAATGTTAGATGCCTGTAAGGTATGGATTTTAACTTAACTTGGACAAACTATCGCATAATATAATACTTGTATATCAGCATGTATACTATGTAGTCCAAATATGTTATGCAAATTTTGTTCGTATACATTAACATAAGCGCTGGCAAAGAAAATATTTTGCAATAAATAGCCAAGACCTGTGCTCGATTTTCCCCAATTTTCAGACAATCGTCCACAAAATATTTGAGACAAACCCCCTCCCCCGATTTCAATGTTGTTTGGCACTACAATATAGTTTAATTCCAAATCATATGTTACATTTCAACTGCCAGTGACACAGTTGTGGTTCTAGTGTCACCTTATGTTCGTTTTGGATAAGTACAGTAGGTTTCAACATTGAAATAAGGGGGGAGGGGATTGATTTAAAAAGTCTAAAACATCACAACCAAACAACAAACCTGTTGCCAATATAATGAACATACCAAACTTACCATGAGTGTCTTCAAAAAGTTGGGTAATTTGACCACATATGTAGAAGACAATTGCCTGTGCCCAGGCATGGGAGGCTAAGAGGGTACTATCACTTGCCCAAGGTGAACCCCCAGGTTAGTGGAGGGAAGGAGGCACTAGCTATATGTCTCCATTACATTCTTTGCAACTACGAATTGGCTGGCTTTGCTGGGATATTGCATTTGCTTCCTGTTGTGCTATTAAGTCGCTTTGCTTTTGCATCTGTTCTTCCACTATGAAAAATCACAATATTAAAATGTTGTTCAATGAAACTGCACATATTATAAAATACAAAACATATTCTGAAAAACAGTATCTTGTAACTCAAGTTTAGAGTCAAACCAGGATGCTGTTTTTGGAAGATGTATTACAATATTTTGAAACAGTTAGCTTGTTGTGGTTCTGGATATACTCACAGCTAGGGAATAGTGCTTGGCCATCAAGTGCTTTCCTGTCCCTGTACTGTTTGATGGCATCTTCTTTAGATCTTCTATCTGTAAACTGTTTGCACAAAGGGTCCAATGCTTTCTTTCTGTACTTTTCCACAGTTTTAGATAAATCTTCCTCAGTGGTTGAGAATAGAATGTTCTTCACAGCGATGACATATTCTACAATAAAAATTATATAAAACCTGTTATAAAGATTTAAACAACCATTTTTTGTGTTGGTTATTTCCAATAGAAAGAATTACTCAGGGATACTTGGACAGAATAAACTGTATTGTTCATTACATTCTTGCCTCGATGACCTGATTTCCAAATGGTTATTTCCCCATGTTTTGTGTGCACAAGAGAAACATTTGTGCAGAAAATATGGGGATATAACATTCATGGGCGTTTGCCATGCTATAAAAACAGTCAAACATGAAAACGAGGTTGCTGGGGCAAAAGTGCAATAAACAGTAAAGGCTATTGGGTAAAATGGAGCACAAATCTGACCAGTTTTTTCAAAGTCCTCAAACATGCAAATATGTTGGTAGGGACTAAAACAAATTTTTTGATATAAGAAGGCTGAACTGTTACTTCACAAACAACTTCTTCACCCAGCTTAAATTTTGGCCAGTTAATGTTGTAACTGATGCAACTGTATTTCATTTTCTTTGACTTGCGATGCACGTTTTCATTAAAAGGAAGGATGGCAATAATGTGTCTGTGAATTTGAATAACATATATATAATACCTGACATTTTTTATACAAACAAATAAGTTACCTGCAAAAAGTTCCCAGCCAAGAGTAATGGATCATTTTTGGATGTCAATGGTTAAGAGTAGAATGAAATCCTTCAAAACAACTGGTTTGACCATTGGGAACAGTTCCTTGAAGGATAAAATTTAGTTTTTTATAGGTTAAATGGGACTGATTATAGGTTCAATGGGATTTGATCAACAGTACAGTACACTACACTAAAATAGAAGATTGGCATATCGACTGATTGGCAGCTGATAAAATGATTTCGATTTTATTGAAATTGGGCAATTAAATTTAGGCAATTAACCAGCAAATAAAACCCTAGAAAACTTCTGACTCAAGCTAGTTCTCTTTTCAGGATTTAAAGCGTCAGTGTCACCCACTGCGCATCCGTTCTGCACATATACAAACCAATTTTCAGAATATGTCGGAAAAGGTCGGAATCACAATATTCCTACTTATAAAAATGTGCATATATTCACATTTTCAGCGGCGGAAAAGCCCAAATAATTGCTTCATTGCATACAGGTTGACAATTATAGTTGTAAAAGTTCATGTGCCACCAAAAGAAACGAGAACAGTGACCAAGGTTGCCCGCATAAGGCAAATATTAAAGAACGCTGTGTATTCTGCCAGCTGCAAGTGTGGAACTCGCAAAACTCCTCAGTCTCCTTGCAAGAATAGGGTATGTGTGGGAATCAAATGTACTTGACCGTATCTTTTATTTGTGTTTGCATATTATACCACATTATATTTACTGTTTATCCTACTTTGTTGTAGCAGAACGTTTGCAAAAGTACCACATACTTCTGTGGCCTGTTACAGCGTGCAACTGTCAACACTGAGAAAACAATATTAATTAATACTATAAGGTTTGTGAATTTCTAATACATCTTAAATTGTTTAAAACGTTTTTAAAATGAGGTATATTAAACATGTTTGAAGATGTGGTAATACTGAATTTTAGTGGATGACTATTTATATTTTCATGATTCTAGAGTATAATAAATTATCAAGACACAACAATCAAGCTTTGCAGGAATATAAAATGAAATAAAAACCTAAATAAACTGTTTGTGCACATGCACAGATCTGACTGTACCACATCTTTAAGTTGAATAACTTTGGTTGAAACTGTTGAATGGTGATACAGTACAAAGTCTAATTGGGAAGTGATGGCACAGACTGAAATTTGAAACAGGGAATAGCAGTACATTTGTTCAGGACGGCAAAAATAATTCCGCAAAGGCAAATTGCCCACCTGTCAGGACATGTCAGGGCGGCAGATTAACATGCTGGAGACCTGTTTGCCAATGGCAAATTGTTGCTGCTTTGATTTTTCCAATTTCAGATGGCCTGAATATTAGCCAAATGACACATAATTATATATTTATATAAATAAAATATCCTAACATTTTGTATAATAGCTATTTAGTAAATAAAAATAAACAACCCCTTAACCTTCTAATTGAAGCTAATTGCAATGCATATGGGGCTTGTGCATATGAACCGTGGATCAGGCCATTTCGTTGTTCTCACCAAAAGGTTTGTGATGGAGACAATAGCATGACTTCAACCCATACAAGACCAATTATCTTGCTTTGATGCTAGAAATTGTTAAAGCTGTTGGATGGTCATTTCATTATTTTATTATAAAATACATCATTAAATTCACAGGCATTTATTCATACACTGGATGAAGACACAGTGAGAAAACTGGCAATTAGAAGCCTAAGAAAAGGAATAAGGAGTACGGATTATGTTCACACATGGGCTCGGCATGGATATTTGGGCAAAGGGAATGGCAGTGTTTGCCCCTCTTGTGTAGTCTTCAAAATAAGACTTTTGACTGGAGTTATATGTGTTACAGAGAACGATGATATTCATGAACCTTTGGTAAACTTTCTAAAGCAAAGGGAATTTGATTTTAATAACTTATATTCTAATTTATGTATTTATATAGTAAATAATAAGGATTTTTTATAAAATATACATTAGAAATTGCATAAATTTTGTACAAAATTGGAATGTGCCACTGTTACATCAGTTATTGCAAAAATCAGTGTTTTCGTTTTGGTATGTCCTTTGTTGCTGGTGGTGATATATGTGCAACAGTGGGGAGCAATGTAGCCTGGGTCGCTTGCATTTAAGGAAACATGGCGGGGTGATATAGCCATCATCATGCAGTCGATCTGTTGCTCGTTGGATAACATTTGAAATGAGAACTGGAATGCGCTCAAATGCTTTTTCAACTTTCACATTTTTCACATCCCACTGCCTGGTCCTTCTGTTGTTGGAAAGGCTCATGACTTTGTAGTTTGTACAGGTGACTCAACATGAGAAAGGGTTTTGTCATCTGACCTTTATTTTTAATCGTTTAGATGTTTGGGGTTCTGAAAGCAGGAAATATATGAAATATTATACAGCACTAATACCTGTGGTCAATGCTGTAAATTATATAAATATAAACCAATTCTTTTTATAATTTTTGATACAATTTTTCTTTGTCTATATACCTTGCAAAATCGTATTTTAAAACTGAATATTAATATTACTCCCATTACAAAGCACATCCTATATAAAAGTGAATGTCATCTTCATACCTTGGCTGACGTTTGTTTGTTATTCAACCATATGAGACTCATTGTGTTCTACTTCCATTGTCAAGACAGGTCTTAGTTGCCACCAGAATCGATGTGCTTGAATTTCCTCGCTGTTTTGGCAGCATTTTTGCAGATGCTGATTCCCTTAAATACCCAAGCAAAATAAATTGCATATTAGTTTCGTTTACTCTTCAAAATATATTGAAAATCATATTGTAAACCCACCTGTGGCGAAATTCCAATGACAACAGATGTGCAGCAAAGTTAGTGTCACTTGAATGTTCATATCCAGCCCTTATTTTGGCCTCTTGCCACGTATCAAATATCTTACCACTTAAATAGATCCTTCTGTGCTCTTTCTCCCATAAATTTCTGTACTTGTTTCAGCTCGAAAACACCTTTTTTCGACCAGCATTTTTCCTTGAATCCCCGTGCATGACGCCCTGGGCAGACGCCATATTGAAATTCGATACAATTGAAAATGTTGGGTGAACTTTTTCAAGTTGATCTATGTGCAGAACGGGTGTGCAGCTGGTGACATTGCCGCTTTAAATGCAAAAACAATACCCATAGGAATCCATTTTCGTTCTTCCAATTCCTCATGGCCACAAGTTGTAAATATTGGGTCTGGGTGATCTTCATGTTTACCAGCCACATTTGATTTCCATTTAGCCACAATGAGGTCCTCAAAACCAGGAATGGTGGTTTGTGCACTCCAGTGCAGATGCCTGTGGATACCTTTTAGCCAATCATTGATTATTTCACATCCTTTCTCTTTGCTTACTTTCCTCAGTTCCTTGTTTATACTCTTATTTACATGCCATATGTCATTATAGTGTTTTGTCCCTTTTTGCTTGGTCCTTATCCACTAGGCAATCCCTTTATGTCAGTCACTAATAAAGATGTCCATCTTAAGACCAGATTCATTTAGAAATTTAAATGATCTTTTTGCACCCTCAAGTTCCATTGTATTGCTGCTGCCAACTTCTTTGCCTGTATAAAAATGTTTTTAATTATATTATACTATTGTCAATTACTTATGGGGTGGTCTATGTAGCCTTTTGCCTCCTGTTTGGGTTGTTTAGCTAACCATGCATTTCATTGATATACAGTAAACATGATTAGTTTGTTTTGGGGAAAATGCCATTATAAAGGTCCAGGCTTTCGATGAAAAGCCTTGCTAAATAAACTGACACCATGATTTCCACAAAGCAAAATAATCACATGCATGTTCAGCCATGAGTCCATGAACTACAGATAAATCATAAGAATGAAAATATACCTGAAGTAATTCAAAGTGGACCAATTTTGATGTTATATAATAATAATAATAAAAGTCTTTATTTCGCTACTCAAATCAAACGTCTGAGTTGTATTGCTCCACGTGGTATACACACCATACTTAGTGCTATGACCCATAGAATTAAAACGTCCATCTCCTGACCATGTCTAGTATTCTTCTCCACTGTCCTTCACTTCCTCAATCAAACCAGACTGGTAAACTTCCCAATGTTTCAAGACAGCTGGGAATAGGTGGGTACTTTGATGTATATGATATGTCCGTACACTTATTGTTGCAATTACGTTCATATGTGTCTGAACATCAACATAGCTTGGCTGATATTGATTCCAGACATCAAGATACCAAAACTTGTCATAATATTTCCAGCTGCATATCTTCCCATAACCATTGGTTGACTTCTCCATGTGAGCTTCTCCATAAGGCATTTACGACAAGCCTGCACAACAGTAGCCATTGGCCCAATGTGTTTCACCTGAACTTTGGATTTTCAGCCTTACAATTGAAGCAGAATCTTCCAAACAACTCTACCAGGGGACTATAATGTACAAGGAACATTGGTTCGTTGCATGGACTGGTTCCTTCGTCAACACTGAAATAGAAAAACATCAGTTCATTTACTCAAATTTTAATACTATTTTGTTTGGGGATGAATTGATGCATCTTCAAACTAATATAAAGTCGAACTATTGATTCAATAATAATTTTAATAGTTTGCAATTAAAAGTTATTAATTCTAAGGCACAATTTTGTAGGACAAATTAGAAGAGATTAGTGATTGGAACATTATTGTTCAGTGGCATCACATACTGTATTAACCTACAGACAAGTTATATACAAAAATTACCAGCCTTACCTGACAGTGTTTTTCATAATTTATTTGTCCATCTCAGCAGCAGACTGACCAGATTCTTCAAGAAACGAATAAACCATTGAGGTGTCATCATCAAGATACTCTTGTTCATTGTCTTCATTCATATAAGCTTCGTCCAAAGCTGCCGTACTAACACTTGGTTGACTCGCAAGCAATGGTCTATTTTCTGCTTCTAGCCTCTGGATTTTCTTTTGCAAGGTCGCTTTTGTCTTTTTATGCCAGCTGATTGTCTTTTGAAGGGTTTTGATTGTCTTCTTCATGCAATTACATGACGTGCATGAGCTAGCTGTGAGATCGAGCTCAGTGTCACTGTCACTGTCGTACGATATGTCGTATATTGTTGCAATCTGTTCATCAACTTTCACTGGAGAAGAGGCTAACTTTACAGGAGACAATCTTTTGCTGCAGCAAATTATCTTTGAAATAAGAATATGCAAAATCTCTAGTGAGTGCCAACGTTTACATTTGCATAATATTAACGATATATTATTAGAGATGCCTTTGCTGCAACCGCATGATATTATAACACTAACCTGCATTCGTCTTCAATCTGTCCATTACTCTTCAGCCGGTGCAAGAATTCCAGCTACATCAATTGTAGGAACAGCATCTCCTTTCAATCTCTTTTTCATATTGAGAGAATTAGCCAAAGCAAGATTCGCATCATAGCATGAATCTCTAAAGTGTGCAGAACAAAGACACAAGGACACGATAGCGTGAAAACTCGGTCTATGTTTCTGGACAAAATTTACCCACTTTTTTCGTCTTTGCTGATCTGTTTCTTCGTTTGGAAACAGATGCATGGATATTCCATCAGTTTGTTGATTATTGGCGCAACTAAGTTAGGACTGCCAGCAACACAGCATTTTCCTCTGCAATAGCATTTACCACTACTAGTAGAATACTCTGTCGAAAACTATACAGATTAGGGGGTGATGACGTAGGTGACATATCACATGATTCTTTTAGGTGCTATAATCTTAGTGATTTGGGGGTTGGGAATTAATAATAACTTTGTACTTGTTGGTGTTGGGTGTAAAAAACTATCTAAAAACGTACAAGTTTGTGACTCGTGATTTGTGACTTTGTGAAAGTGTGGATTTCTACAACGTGTTCCCCACATTATTGGCACCTCCGACAACGGGATAAGTCAAGTCAACTGTGAAACTGTGAGTATGTTCCAATTGTTTTCTGCATGAAAAGCCTTGCGTGACCATTCGAGACTGTGAAAAACCGCAACTTTAATCATGTCCATGAAAAAGCAACTCACAGAGATAGACTCTAAGCTAAAAACTTTACGTCTTAAACTAAAGCAAGCCGAGGAAATCGTAGCAAAACGTGATAGAGAAGCCGCCGAACGGCACCGGATTACCTTTTGAATTTAACTAGAGCTGTCGAAGATCTTCGTAGCTCTATCGAAGAACTAAAATTTAGTGCGGGTGAATCAGAAGAAACGGTCACAACATGGTCTCAGGAGATCGCGCAAGAGCTTTCCTACACCGATAAATCTTGTGCTGAACTATCTAAGTACACTAAAGTGATTGACGATGAATTTAAAGCGGCTGAAGAAGCCAAACGGCAAGAAACTGATTGGATTTGAAAAACAATTGATACAACAAAAGCTTGAAGCCGAACTCAAACAAAAGGAGCTCATTGTGAAATCCTCCACGGCGGTAAAACTACCGAAACTTACAATAACCAACTTCAATGGCACTCCTTTGGATTGGGTTTGGTTTGAAGGTCAATTCAATGCGATGGTAGATAGTCAACAAGTACCAGCTGTCACCAAATTTTCTCACCTAAAGGAACTCGTTGTTCCACGTATTAGAAGTGCGCTTGACTGTCTGCCATTTACAGGTGAAGGTTATGCACGCGCCATAAAGTATTTACGCGAGAAATATGGTCACCCTAGTTAAGTTGCCGGCCACTATATCATTGTTTTGTTAGAGTTACAGCCTGTTACCGACATACCTAATTTTAAGAATTTTTTATCACTGCACATTTTTGTGCAAAGTTTAGCCGAACAGAAACACGCCCTGAAAATTTCTGAATACACTCTTATAGTAACGTATAACAACAAAATAGGCTACAATTGTTATTAAAAAATGCCAAAATGAAGATACACTGCACAGCACTCAGGGAAATTTGGGGGCCCAGGACAAACTTTAACTTGGGGGCTCTTGTGATTCCATGTTCTAACACTATGATTAGGGGGTTTGGTTTTTTAAAATCTGAGGTCCCAGAAATGGCCAAATCCTGCATTCTGGAAGTCTAGTTGACAGTTATATCTATGTATATTTCACTGCAATTCTTTATTTGGGCCCCCTTTAACTGGGATCCCAGGGCAAATTGCACCCCTCTGGGCGTCCTTGACAGCACCTGCCAGTTACGACTATAGATAGAATAGAAAGATAGAAAAACTTTCTTTATCCACGCTAACCCTGTCAACCGAGGCTGATTTTCACAGGGGGCATGTCTATCTATGACAGCTTAGTTTCATAATAACAGGACTGAAGAAAATAAATATTTTCATCCTAATGGCAAATGAAAGGCGGCTTACAGGCTTAGACGTGACAAACCTCTAGAGGAGTTCCAGGGGCATGCACACACAGCCAATTTTGTAATCTAGGCACTATGAAAGGGCATCTCCTGCAATGCGTGGGGACATTCTATAGAATTCTGAAAATTATACAGTAATTACAAAATCATTCATTTCATCTTCCAAACTCATGAAGAGATATTTGGTGAGAGACTTTGTTCATCTGATAAACCATAAGTATGTTATTAGTGCGGACGTTCGATAATTTGGCAGTCATCATTTCAATTTCAATTAAATCATTCACATTCAAAATGTTTCGTCGGATTAGTTCAGTTTTTCTGCTAATTGTCTCATTTTCTTGTGTTAATTAACAACTTATCAAAGCAAATTTTATCACACATTTTATCTGCACATTTTACATTTTATCACTGCACAAATTGGTTATCACTGCACACTAAAATTAGGTATGGTTACCGAGCACGATGTTCGTAAAATACATAAATTTTATGAACAACTATTGTTCAATGTCGAGAGCCTCCGCACACTGGGGAAACTTGAGACGATTGAAGGTTCTTCCTTTTATATCATAATTAAGAAATTAGAGGTTTTAAAAGCCGAGTTAGTCAACGCATGTTTCGGGTGATTGGAGAGATTGGTCATTTTCAGAACTGCTCTAGGCTTTAAGAAAATGGACGGCGACAAATGCGTTTATTAAAACCGAAAAACGAATCCCTAGGCGACCAGAAATCTTGAACGGGAGTGCATTTCACTCGCGTGATTCTAATGTGTGTGTTTATTGTCAAAGTACCGATCATAAGACCACCCAGTGTAATGTAATTTCATCACCTGAAGCACACAAGAAATATTTGGCTGATAACACGCTTTGCTTTAATTGTGCCTTGGGGCCACATTCAGCCAGCATCTGTAGAAGTAAAATTTCCTGCCAAAAATGTAAAAAACGGCATCATACGTCCATTTGCTTCAACCCTGAAGACAACGTTGAACTGGCGATGACTTCAAACGTTAATTTAACCCATTTGAGAAATGGAACAAATAAATTGCCTCCAACTACCGTAATTCATCCAATCGTGGCAGTTAAGGTCGGTGGAATGAAAACTCACTCGTATGTTTCTGCCAGATTAGTCGAACTCACGCAAGCAAGTGAAGTTAAAAAGGAAACGCGTAGAATTGCTACATTAATGGGTACTTCGACTTCCAAATTTTCCCAGTACGATATCCGTCTTGAATCAGTGAAAGGAAATTTCGAACTGGAAGCACGCGTCACAAAAATCGAGAAAAGTGAACTTTTAAGCTTAGAAAATTCCCACAACTACGAGTTAATTAAGAACTATGCTCACTTGCGTGATATCGAATTAGTCGACGTGGCTACCAAACAGAATTTGGCGCTAACAGAATTTGGCGTTTTGGGCGCTAACGAATATGCCAAAATACGCACGTCAATTCAGTCTCGTATTGGTAGACAAGGAGAACCAATCACTGAGCACACTCGTTTTGGTTGGGCCATAATGGCCCCGGGTTTAGATAGTGATGACGTCACTGGATTCCTAGCTGTTAATTCCTAGCTGTTAAGACTGGTCCAGCTCTTCAGAACAAGTTATGGGACGTCCTAGTCTGCAGTAGATTCCGTCCTGTGATCCTCGCTGCAGACATGAAGAAAGCATTCCTCCAGGTGCATATTCAAGAAGAAGATCGCAATGCTCTACTATTCCACTGGCTAAGGAACATTAATTCGAACGAAGTTGTGTCGTTAAGATTTAAGCGAGCATTATTTGGGTTGGTGTCTTCTCCGTTTCTGTTAGGAGGAGTGATAGAGCAGCATTTGGCTAATTGGGCGCCGAGATTACCAGATCGAGTTAACGAGATTTCTCGGGATCTTTACGTGGATGATCTTATATCGGGTACCTCTCCCGTGTCCTCAGCAAGTGATCTGAAGCGAGATGCTATCACCATCTTTGAAGATGCTTCATTTCAGCTCCACAAGTGGAATTCGAACACTCCTGAGCTTGAGTTGAACCAACCTTCCTCACAGAGTGACACTGACCAAACCTATGCCAAGCAACAATTCCCTCCATCCTCCGAAAGTGACAGTAAACTACTTGGTGTGGCTTGGGACAAACGTAACGACACTTTGAGTGTGGTTTTCCCCCCAACTCAAGACATGTCAACGAAAAGAGAAACGCTTGCAAAGCTGGCGAGTATTTACGATCCACTTGGATTCGCGTCGCCCATCTTGCTCCAAGTTGATGTATCGCGATTCACGTGTGGGAAAACTACCGTGGGATTCTTCATTGCCCGAAAACCTAGCAAAGCGTTGGAAAACATGGGAATGTAACCTGCCTCCTATCCTATCAACACCTCTGAGTTTGGCTACATATCGTGAACCAATCAAAGCGATAGAGCTGCATTCGTTCGGCGACGCAAGCAGTCATGGAGTCGCTACTGCAGTTTATGCCATAGTTCGTCAGCCAAGTGGTACAACGCAAGGCCTGGTAGCCGCCAAATCCAGATTAGCGAAGCAAGGTCTCACTATTCCTCGACTGGAGTTGGTTGCTGCACACATGGCAGCAAATATCGTAGATAACTTGCGGCGTGCTCTTGAAGGTTTCCCTGTCGTCTCGGTACACGGTTGGACCGATAGCACTGTGGCCTTGCATTGGATCTGTGGAAATGGGGATTACCATCAGTTCGTAGCGAATCGCGTGCGAAAGATCCTGGAATACAACATCGACGCGTGGAGACATGTTCCTTCAGGAGAAAATCCCGCAGATTTAGCAAGTCGTGGTGGCTTGGTTGACAACGATCTATGGTGGAACGGACCGTTGTGGTTGTCCAGTCCTGAAATGTGGCCCATGAATCCTGTTATGAAACCAAGTCCAGAGTCGGCAGCAGAGAGTAAACTAATTTGTGAAGTGATTGCTAACATGACAGTGAGCGAAAGGGATGAATTTGACGATCTACTCGAGCTAGGCAACCTGAAGAAAACGTTAAGAGATTGTGCACTGATGAAGAGATTTCTAGATAAATGTTGTCGTATTCCAGCTGCTAGTGGTCCTCTTACGTCAGTTGAGCTAGAGTCACAGATGGAGTGGTGGATACGACGAGTTCAAACCCGTGCAGAAACCTCGCTGAAGTTTCCGGATGACAAACTCCAACTAAATCTTCAAGCCAACGTACGTGGGATACTCGAGTGCCGTGGTCGAATTCAAGGTCACTACCCTGTATACCTGCCAGATACGAGTTTGTTCACAGAGAAACTAGTTCAACGCGAGCACTGCCATACAATACATGGCGGGGTCGGCCTCACCATGGCTTGTGTCCGTGAAAAATTCTGGGTTCCTCGACTGCGGAAACTTGCGAAAAAAGTGATTAAGTCGTATTGGGGATGCAAACGCTTTCAAGCTCGGGCACTCGCTGTCCCTCCTCCCGGCCTTTTGCCCAAGGAAAGAACTGAGGGCTCTGCACCCTTTGAAATCGTTGGCATGGATTTTGCAGACCCCATTCATTATCGAAAGTCTCCATGAGTTGAAGGGAAAGCATACTTGGTTCTGTATGCATGCAGTTTATCAAGGGTCTTGCATCTGGAAATTCTTCCTAATCTCGAGACAACAACCTTTCTTGGCAGTCTTAAGCGTTTGATTGCTCGTTGGGGTCGGCCAGTGAAGATGATATCTGACAACGGTGGTTCATTTATCGGGGCTGCGAGATGGCAGTTAGAAGTTAGAAAGGACAAGCAGCTTCAAGGCTATTTGGCAGATGAGCAGATTCACTGGAAATTTAATTTAAGTTGTGCCCCTTGGTGGGGTGGACAGCTTGAGAGATTGGTGGGGATCTTTAAGCGTGTCTTTTACAAGTGCGTTGGGGGAGGTACGCTTTCGTGGAATGAGCTTGCGGACGTGGTTCTCGATGTCGAGATTCAACTGAACAGCCGTCCCCTGTCCTACGTAGAAGAAGATATTGACCTCCCTCTCCTAACTCCTTTGGCGTTTATTTACCAACGGACGAGTTGTCTTCCCGAGCAGGAACCTTGGCGAGAAGAAGATGCGAATCTTTGTAAGCGAGCAAAGCACTTATGCTCGTGTAAAAATGCACTATGGAAACGCTGGACTGGGGAGTATCTGAAGGCATTACGTGAACGGCACAACAGCAATCGGAAAGAAAAGTTCTTTTCTCCCGCGGTCGGTGATGTAGTTATCGTGCGTAGCGACGAAAAGAATCGAGGGAAGTGGCCACTCGGTGTCATGGAAGAGCTATTCCCTGGACGTGACAGGATCGTTCGAGCAGTCAAGTTGTGTTGCGGAAGATCTCACCTAGAACAAGCGGTCCAACATCTCTATCCTCTCGAGTTAAAGTGCGAGGCGAAGAAACCGTTGAAGGACGTCAAACTAGATCCTGAAGCAAAGTCATTGCCCAAGTGGACAATTGAGTATTTTTTGAATAGTGTTCTAGCTTGTTTACCAACTAGTCTATTATATTTAAATCATAGAACGTGTTTTGTTCCTCAGTCGAAAGAACTGATTACTGATAATTCATTATTTCATTTATAGAAAAGTGTGCTATAGAATAGTTTCCTTTTGCATGTATCTCCTTCCAGGAGTTACATGGGGGAGTGTGTCGAAAACTATACAGATTAGAGGGTGATGACGTAGGTGACATATCACGTGATTCTTTTAGGTGCTATAATCTTAGTGATTTGGGGGTTGGGAATTAATAATAACTTTGTACTTGTTGGTGTTGGGTGTAAAAAACTATCTAAAAACGTACAAGTTTGTGACTTGTGATTTGTGACTTTGTGAAAGTGTAGATTTTTACAACGTGTTCCCCACATACTCCATGATGAAGTTGTGTTCATCTTATGACATCACACAGCATCAACATGGTCGACCAAAAGTTCGCACAGGAAGTACCAAAAATCGCAACTTTGGGGTACTTCCTCGGGTAGAAGAATTTGCATCACAGATTACGTCATCAGTTAGTTATAGTGATTAGTGTTGAGGTTAGGGTAAGGGTTAGATTATGGATTAGGCTTAAAGATAGGGATTGGGTTATATCTGACGCCACAAACAACACAACTAGCCAATCACGTGATCAGTTCTCTACCTGAGGAACTACCCCAACTTTGAAAGACTATAAAATTGGTTTGAAACAACCAATTTCAATTCTGTTTGCGGGAAACATATCAGGAAAGTTGGCACTTTAAATTGAGCCAATAAAAAAGGGGTAGAAAAACTCGCTGCAGTAGCACTTTAAGATTTATATAAACCAGATTGAGTAGCGAGCGAAAACATGATCCACACACCCGCACAGTTAAAAACGATCAGTTTGTTGCATTAGTTGATGAAAACAGGATTGATGTTTTGCAAAAAAATGATGATAATGATAATAATAATAAATTATTCGGGCGAAAAGCATGCAGGTGTTTTGAAGAGAATTTAACATTTTGGGAAGTTAAACATAAAAAATATGACACTACGAAGCTGGTAACAATATACTCACTTCCACATGCACAATTAGTATGCATAAAATGTTGAACTCTATCGACCAACAACTACTGATATTTCAATATCTGTACAAGACACCATGACGGTTGAATGCTGTGTTGCATTACAAACATAGAAATTAAATTCGATACAGAATGATGATACATCTTTATCTGTTTGACCAATTGAAATGCTGCATGCATCAAACGTCGTTTACTCTCCACATAATCCGCATGATCAAATGCATCCTCAGAAATCCATTTCATTTTCCTAAACTTCTCAAACTTGGAATGTGGAAACACCCATCTTCTTTGCAATGCAACGTAGGGTGTGAAGTAAGGATAAATATAATAATCAATTAGCCCGGTCACAAAAATGCCATGCATCCAATTCACGAACACCACTTCAATACATCTTTGACCACGTCCGTGATAATACCATCCCACAAAATATATATATATATATGTGTGAGGAACAGGGTATATAAAACTGCCACTGTGTTTTGTAAACCATCTACGAGCACCATGAAATCTCACTTTATGAGTAGGAAACTTAATATATAATCAAACGTCTCACGATCTTCAGCCAATTTTCTATATACAATCAATTTCTCATAATCATAAACCACTTCGCACTGCTCCTCAATCGATTTGTCTGACATGTCCGCAAAGACTTGCTAACTCATTCATAAATTCCTTTGCAAATAACACACCCACTGATTTTAAATTAACAAATTTGTCACATACTTCATCTTTGTCATGCACAGTTGAATATACTGACAAATATGCTCTGTTAATTCCTTATCAAACCGTACTCCATTGGGGTATCAAAATATGTGTGCATAACTTACCAAAACCATTTTGAATAAAAAATTCGCAGTAATTGATCCTTTAAAAACATAGCCTTCACCACTAAGAAATACAATGTGTAACACAGGTCTTATACCCTCCCTAGGAACATCACTAAGATAAACAAAAGCAGCTACATCCTCATACAAAACCCCTCTAACAAACAAATCCTTTTATGTGTTGTCAACGTAGTATTTTTCATAAAACGAACCATGCTAAGATCTTGCTCCCTTAACA